TCCAAGCATAGTCCAGCATGATAGAAACAGTTGCAAATAATGTTCTTCGTAATGCCACTTTAGGGGTTTGATATAGGTCACCGCAAGAGCGAGTAAGATCTAATTTGCCTTTTGCAAAACGAGTGCAGATACCGTTCAATGACGGTTCGTCTGCTAATGCAAACGAAGAATGCAGTTTGTCTGCTGTGAAGCACCATTTGTAGGTGGAAATATAATAAAACACTGGACGTTGTCTGCTAACTGACCAGAAAAAACAATTGGTCGGTGCATAGGGGGCTGCATAAATTTCCGTTGAAGTATGTGTAGGTGGCACAAGAAATGAGAGGGGGGTGATATATCAGAGATTATGTCTTGTCCACTTGCCCAGATGTGATGTTTGTGGTAGCTGGCGGTACGCCCACGGGCTCGTGCTGCGTGACGATGGCGGGCTGCGCAGGAAGTTTAATGCCCGTGGCTCGGAGTCCGGTAGAGGCAATTCTGCAGCCCCACAGTGCCGCCATTTCCGAGGCGCATATGCGGAATTGCGTGCGAAGTAAGTCGACAGAGAAAACCTGGGCATGCTCTTAGGCCATTTCAGACACACAGATACAAAGTTTTTCTTCAAGAAGAAGCACACACGAATGAGAGGAGCTGACGGCGCCTCCGTTGCTGATGCAATAGTATGTTTCCTGCATCATTGGTGCGAACATAAAGAAAGTAACCAGTCGCCAAAAGGAAACAAGAAAAAAAGGAAGCCGACAGTGCCTCCGTGTTTGATGCAACAGCTTGTTCATCTCGTCATTGCTTGATGCCTTGAGAAAAAAAAAAGTAGAAAAAGAGAAGAAAAGCTAGGAGACTTCATTTTTGAGGTGACAGTTTGTTCCCCGCGTTATGGCTTTACGCCTAAAGAAAGAAAAGTAGAGAAAAAAAAAGCCGATAGCGCTTTTGTAGTTGATGTTGCAGCATGTTTACTGCATCATTGGCGTACGCCACCAGAAACGTCACTTACGTGACCAAGTTTTCGTGATATCAACTTGATACTTTGCACCCCCTAACAAGTGCGGTGAAAGACATAGTTCTACGTAAAAAAGCTGATCGTCTGCTACGAACCGAGTGCCACAATAAAGCGAAATTGGATGCAGGCTGAAATTGTGATCTGCTATTTTATGTTAGAAGGCACTGACAAACTGCACTTTATTTGCAAACCTCAAGTTGTTCTGCTGCCATACACAAGCTGACACTGACCGGTGGACAAAGGAGTACTAAGGACAAGCACATCAGAGGCCAGAAAATCTCTTACTACTATTTGTATGTTGGTGGGACAATCTTACCAAGATAAAGTTTAAGTGTGAACTCACGAATGGGTCAAAAGCTTCTATTGGATGATTACGTGCAAGCTATGGCGTCACATCCAATCAGCAGCCGAGATCACTCTCGCTCACACCTTGACCAACACTGGACTCCAAGCGTGACTAAGCACCTCGAGTGCGGCAAACAAACAAGTCAATTTTTAGCTCTTGACCAACATGCAGCTTGACGAGAAGCCGCTCCACTTTGTGCTTCTGATGCACGTGTTAGAAAGCAGAAAGCACGGATGATACCTTAGTCCACTGACCGGGGCACTGCAGAAGCATTGGGTGGCAGAAAGCGGGACTCCGTGTTCTTAAGTGTGACACCGCAATGGTGCGCAAAACAATTGTCCAAAAGCAAGCAAACCTTGGGCTTGCTTGTCGTCAGATCATTGTCCCAGTCGTGCAACCACTTCTTGAACAGAACTCGTTGCTTTGCCGTCAGAAGGGTATGTCACAGCTACGGAGGTGCACCCTTGCAAACACAAGGGCAACTTGAAATTCCCAATTACTAGCTACTTCAGTTCGGAGGAACCATCCATGATGATTGTCAGGAGGATTGTGATATGGGCCCCGTTGAGTACTCCGCCACGACATGTTACATGGCAAACCGCCAAGATCCAGCTTAGCAGCAGCTGCCAAAAGAGGGGCGTCTTATCCGCGTGTTGTAGATGTCACACAGTTTGTATCTTTACATCAAGATTGATGGCCCGCTGTCGGTTATCTGCTTCTTGACATCCTCTGGGTCCACAGCATGGCTATCCCAGGTGACTACTTTGCCAGTGATTCAGTACTGAACGTTGAATCATTGGAGCCATTCAGATCCCTCGGTGAAGCCTTCAGCCACGAAGATGGAGACAAAATCTCTAACTTTTTTTTTTTGCAATATGGGACCAGAGGCAGGCAGTGAGTAAGAGCAAATGACCATTGGTAGACAACCTCCTTTACGTTGTCGTAGGCCAAAGTCCGGCGTTCGGTAGTTCATAGGCTAAGCGATAGCTTTACGGGTGACACCTTGCAGATAATTCGGAGTCGGCATTTGTAGTTGTCTGTTGTCACGGTGGAGATGAAAAAACCCTTCTTTTCTTCCCTCACGGCTCCAGGAGAGAGAAGTTGGGTGTTCCCATTGGCTGAGCTGCACAAAGAAGGAAGAAAGGAGAGCCCCGACGACCCACCAATAACGGCGTGAGAATGAGGAAGCATCAGCAGAATGTCTTCCTCTGTCGTCTGCTAACGACAATTTCAAATTGGGTGTTTTCAAACATTACTCCAGTTATATAAAATCCCACTTTGGTAGTATCTGGTGACTACGCGTAATGTTGGAGTGTTTTAGAAACTTCCACCGCATTTAATTTCAGTATAACATCTCTGCTTCTAGAACCAAACTCAATACGTAAAATATCTTCTGCCAAAACTTTTTTTCTTCCACCCACCTTCTCCGTAGAGCTTCACCTCCATTATTTGCATGCATTCCCCACTCCGCTCATCGCCGAATGTCAGCATTATCCCCTTCCTTCTTCGCTCAACAACACCGGGAAAACCTGCGGCCTCGCTTGCCGCATACTCTTTCAAATGGCGTAGCTGTGCCAAGGCCGCACTCCGTCCGAGGAGCGAGTGCGGAGGGAATGGCTGGCTTCCGCAGCTCGCCACTGGTGTTGCACCCACATGACCACCAACTAAAGGTTGCCTGTGCTGTGCGTACATGCGACGTGAGGATCTCGAGTTGCACAAACGTGCTACAGCTATCGCTTTAGCTTTTCTGCACATTGTGGGTGAAAAAGGCACCCCTTTTCAAGATAGTGCTCACTACTTAGCATACTTCTGCGTGTCTTAAAGGTGGCGGCAATGTCCAATTTTTTCTCACCACATTCAACACGGTGAATAATGTCCAGTTTGTCAAGAGCGGTGAGGCTTGCCGCTGCCTTACTGTCATCTCAAACCGTGCACAGCACCAGGTTGCAAAACAAAATGAAAGAGAACGACACAAATTGCAAAAATTCTAAACAAGTGTCATTGATGCTGAGGTTCAGTCAGCACTGTGTGCGCACCCAGGCTCTGTTCCGTGACAACCGGTAAGAACAAAGTTGAATAGCTCATAAGCGTCACTGTCATGAAATTTGAAATGTAATAGGACAGCACGGTGCTGGGGCATGCCTAAGTGGAGAAATGGGCAGCTTTGAGTCCTTCTTTCTCTTTTGTTCATGCGGGGCGAGGATATGATCGAACGATGAACTAGCTCCCAAGCTCTTGCTCCATCTGCGTAGCAAGAGAGCCCAACGTTGCAAGTGCTGGTAGCCCGGTCGTTTGGTGGATGTTGCGGGCACTAAGAGTTTGATATATCCATTGCATAGTTCATTATGTTAGATATATTTTGCTTGAATATTAAAATCTGTTTGTGTGTTCAGTATAAGGGTTAATTCGCTGTACCAGATTTCGTTTCAGTAGGTTTTGATCCTAGTGTAATGGGCAAACTACAAACATGAACATGTATTTGTCAAACTCACTCAAGTCCCAGTACACTGAAGCGAGCACACAGGAGGTCACTCACACCAGCGGGCGTTGCTTCAGGAGAGAGCGACGCCTGCCGCTCCTGGGTGCTGGGGATCTGGACGCAGGGGAAGCCGGGGTTGAACACAGCAGGCGGCATGGACCAGGACATAGGGTCTCCAGGACAGCTCTTCGCATCTTTCTTGACCAACAGGGCCAGGTCGACAATCTAGGAGGCCACGAAGAAAAACATTCGGCTTAACTGAAGTGGAGCAATGTTGGCTTATAGAAACAGTTACTTAAGAGGGAACACTGGTCTTAAAGCTTTATTTCTTATTTTCTGACCAAACCCATTGAAACTGCATGCACAAGCTTGTTCAGCTTTTTGTGCTGATTTCATATATCGGGTCGTTTTCTCAGTCAGTAGGATTGCCCTCGAGGTAATTAAAACTTGCCTGCCTTTGTTTGGAGGAACGATAGGGAAAAAACTGCTGAAGAAAATATCCTTCTGAACACATGGTTAGATACTACAAGGTGTAGAGCATACAATGTTGGAAGCACTTTTAAGATAAACACACTATTAATGCTTTTAACACACATTGAAGTTCAGTGCTCAATGCATTGCTAACAAATAATAAAACAAAAGATCAAGTAGAAAATTTTCTAGGCATATATTAAAAAATCTGCTTTCAACATTGTATGCTTCACTTATTTAGCTACACATATTAGGAAAGGTTATATTTCTATCTGCTCTAGATGCTGAGATATCCCTCCTGCAAATCTTCAACGAGTCCAAAAATTGTGCGCTTTGAAAACAATATTTTAGAGTCAACTTCAGTGCACATTCAGCCCGCATAAACATTATTAATTGATTTATAGCCCAAATACAGTTTTAGGACGTTTTTGGCTCCAAAGACCCATGTCCCCCCTTAAAGAATGGAGCCAAGCCTGTCATCTGTAGCAGCGATCTGACGGATAAGCTCCCATTGGCTGGCGCACGTCATAGTTTCAAGAAACAAGGCTTCCTCTGGCTGCCGCTCGGCATATTAGTTCAAACGAATGCCACAAGAGAAGAGAGATTGATTGGTTGCAGAGCCAACAGAGCCCGCACGGGCAGACTCTGGAGCGGCTGCACGGCCGAGCTCAGCACGGCGCAGCCATTTCACAAGAGCGCGTGCTCGGCTGTCAGGAGGCGCAAGCGGATCGCAATTTAAAGCGTCTCAGGCGGCAAGAGGACGAGGCCCTTTGACAATGCGAGGCGGAAGCAATACATTGCAGGCGGCATGCTTTCGCATTCACAACTCATAACAAGTGCTTATGTGTCATCGGACTTCTTAGAAAAGAAGGGAGCGATCAAGCGAGGAATGCGACGTCACAATCCTCTTCGAACAGTTGAGAATAAAGGGAATCGGCCTCGCTTCTCTCCTCCTCACCTCGGTTCACTTGCTAAAGGGGACAAAGCGAAGAGGAGAAGGAATGAGAATCATGACATGACATGTCTTGTCGGACTTATCAGACGTGTTAAATCACGCACTTCTCCAAAAACACGGCCATTTGTTACAGATACCACTGTAAGAGTGATGGTTTTGGGTTTTGCAGTGTCCCGCCTATAGCTCCAGCCTTGTTTTGCGAGCTCCAAATTTCAGTTAAATTTAAAGGAACTACTAAAATGACAAATTTATCGAGAAGTCAGAATCTTATACAGCTATTTGAAAACTAAGGGCATGCAGTCGAACCCGGATATATTGAATTCAAAGGGGATCGTAAAATAGTATGATATGTCAATACTTTGATATACAAAAATATGTTAAATTAAGCTAGAGTTGAAATTTCCTGGCATCTCTGCTAACACCAAAGGTCGCGACAAACGGGAGCATACCAAATAGAGCACCCAAGAGTAGCTAAATACAGTAGAGCGTAGTTGGCAGAGACCACAAACACTGCCACGCTTACACGCGCACCTGGCCGGGACCTCTACAGAGCCATAAACAGCAAAACATGAAATTAATAAAAAAAAACAATGGAAAAGCGAGACGCATAAAAAAAAGCTCTTCATCCATAGCAAAAAGTTAATCATGCAACAAAAAAGAAAGCTTACTAAATTCAAGCAACAAAAGAAGAAAGAAAAAGAAAAAGGAAAAAACGGGCAAAGCAATAACGGCAAAAAAAAAGGTAAACAAAGATTAGGCGTTGGAGGCGCGATTGCAGAACCATTGTTGTCAACACACTCAACTTGTCAGACTTCTTTTTTTTTTTTTTTTTGCTCATTTTATTTTGGGTTTAGGGTGTCGCACAGCATCAGCAGTGTTCGGGAAAAGGGCGCAGGCTACCGTTCCAACAGCGGGCACTCCCTGCTCTCCTTTCGCGCACATGTCCCCTTCCCCTTGCTTTTGCCATCCCCCACTTTTTTTTTTCTTTTTTTACCGCGTGTATGCTGGCTTGGTGGTCTGCCGGCCCCACAATGCAAGTGATGCGCTCGCCACCGGCGCAATCGAATTGCGGGAAAAGCAATTGGCGGGCTTCATTCGCTACATCGAGTGTCCCCGCCATGGGAGTTCAATACAAAAAGACAATGCTCCTATACTATTGCAAGTGATTTTCAAGGAGGTGTGTGGACTGTTTGATATAAACAATAATTTGAAATACCCAAGTGTGACACTGTATTTGAAATCACCAGTGAGGAATACATCAGTAACCTCCAACACAATAAATAAATTAACAAAATAAAAATTAAACAAAATTTAAGGATCATCAAGCGCAAAAAATTACACAAGTGATTGTAATTTTGGCTTTTATAGGATGCTTAGGGTACACAGATTGAGCTCATGCCATAGAAAGACGATCTCAAAATCCGCCGTCGTGCTTCTGAGTCACCAAGGCTGGGGAAATTGAAGAAGAGAGCCAGGCCTGTCTGCGCTAAGGCACTTCAGTCTTCACAGAACTTATTGCAACATGAGAGGAAAACAAGCTTTTCCCACGTACAGATCCTCTACTGTGTATGATTGGTAGAGTCGAATCGTACACAGATGCAGATTACCCACGGATCATCTGCGGATTACCCGCAGATCCTCTGCAGATATTCACATTAAACTGGCGGAAGACGGATAAAAAAAAGGATCAGATTTGGCGGACTGCAGATTGGACGTGGATGCCAGGGGCTGCGGACGCAGATCGGATACGGATATCCGCAGGTCTGGATCGACACTTTTGCCGAGGTGGTCCATAAGTGTGTGTGTTTGCAGAGCGTAGAGTGAATAAGTGAGTGATAGAAAGAAGTGCACCATCGAACATTTTGCAAAAGCAAATTACTCTCTTAGAAAAAAGGTGCCAATCGTGGAGAAAATTGTTCCACATGCCAAGAAAGACTATTCTCACAAAAGACCACTTTAGAGCGTTTTTTCTCGCCAAAAATGCTGTCTCTAGAAGAAGTAAAAAATGTATGGGCATCAGTCATCCCAGGAAAGCGTGTTCTTTTCTGGCAGAGAAGAAACGAAAAATGTTGTTCAGGCAAAAAAACACCCAAAATGTGCATTCAACAAAAAAGTAGAAGCCTGACTGACAAGTAACACTTGGCGTGTCTGTTTTAATTTTTCGACAGTTGGCAAGTTGCTGCTTGGTATGTGGTTTGGAGCATGCAGTTTCGGGTTTGTGTTAAAACAATACACACTAGGAGTTGCTGCCATTAATGAATATTGTGATATTTTCCCAGATAATCAAGTTTTACCACATGTATTTGAGTAGTTCGCTACGGTGAATAAGTGCCTTTCTTCTTCCACTTTTTTGTTGTTCGACGTAAATAAAATGACACGAGGTTATTAGTCTCTCGTTTATTTATTAGAATGGTTAGAAAATGTGCAACACATACAAAACAAAATAAAGAAAAAATTATACATTTTTTTTTTTTAGAGCATTTTCTGGCCAGAGTGCTACATGTAGACTTCCAGCATGCTCTTATAACTGCAATAGTCTTTCGAGCGACATGAAGTGTCTCTGGAAGAATGATCGCTTGTAATATAGATACGATAAAACAGAATATGATATATTGACTTTTACCGTCGACCGACTCGAAGGGTTCTTCGTACAAAGATAATTGCGAGTAAATTACAAAGTAGCCAGATGCTTCTTTTTTTTTTCTTTCACGCTCGATTCCATGATAATGGCACGAATGGGAAGATTGCAGGTCGGACGGGGTTCCGAATTTTGTGGATGCGGTTTGGACGCTGATGCAAAGTATGCAAATGCGGACCGGATGCAGATGCAATAATTTTGAGAACAATGCGGATGCGATTTGGGTGCAGACATGGTTGTCTGGAGGGCGGTGAAAGGGAGGGCAACTTTTGGGCTTCTGGGGATGTCGACAACGAGACGTATCGGTGGTGTACTGTTAGGCCGCAATCAAACTGCCAATGCATCATTCAAAAGACAGGCTGCAGACACTGTCTGAGGCATGTTTATTCCTTTATGATGGTCCTGTCAAATTTATCATAAAAAGTGTTACAGACATGTGCAACACATATGTACAGAACAAACATGTTTTGAATATGCTCAACACGTGTCCGCAGATGCAGTCATCCCTCGTTATAACGAAGTCAACGGGATGGCAGAAAAAAATTCGAAACAAGCGGCAATTCGATGAAAGCGATAGAGCCAAAGAAACAGTGCTTAGCAGCCCCGAAGGTAGACGGGAACACTGTGTAACACCCTGAGCATATATTTCATCGAACGAATATTGGTTATGAAGAACTCACGGCAGCTTTACAAAGTAAAAAAATAATTAGGTGGAGTTTGCTGGTAATTTAATCCAGGCATTAGTTCTCCTCGAACTGCTCCAGGCGTCGCAAGAAAGAACGCAGTCACCGCCGCTAAACTCCACTTTGTTTCGAAGCAACCGTAGGATGTTTCGCATCTCCGCAGCCGTCGGCGTTTCCCGAGGTGCCTCTCCAACGTCGCTTTGTGTTTACCCTGGCCACACGCAAGGTCTACGATCGCAGCATCCGTGGCAGGAGCAACAACGGGAACGTCCGCATCGACAAGCACGAACGAATCAAAGTTATCCTCGGTGGCTTTGCCGAAATGTTTGCACACACTCCTATAGAGATCGTCGCAGCTCTGGGAATTGTGCGGCAGCTCGGCAAGTGTGCTGGCAAGAGAAAATCTGACAATCGCAAAGCAGTTGGCAATCTTTCATTTTTGGGTCGTGGGCGCACACTCTCTTGCATGAGAAACTTCTTGTTGTGCAAAATGGTGGACACTGTCGAACAGCCAATGCTGGAATGTGGGATTCATTGGCGATTTCAGATTTGGGCCAGCCACTTTTCTCAACCTCGCCGATCTAAGTGACTTTCGGTAAACACTCCCCATCCCCCATAAAACACATGCGTGCATGTACTATGCAGCAGGCACATGCATCGGGGGCTCCTGAAGGGATGATCTTCTCTGGGCTCCAGTGCTCCCTTAACCTGATTCCGACAGGAGTCGAGCAGCGTCGGCTGTGGGCACCGTGAGTAGCGTCAGAACATGCATGCTGCTATCGCAGCGCCGCCGCTCCCTGCAATGACCGCTTCCTGCCCGCGTCCTCGTATCAACATCAGAAGCGACCCTCTGCACACCCTGCCCTCCCGTTCACTCCGTTTGCTTGTTTGCCGTTTCCCCAGTTTGCCAATAGCCTCGGTGGAGGAGGAGGAGAGAATGCAAAGGTCTCTATTTACCCGTGTAAAATTTAGTGCTTTCGGAACTGCACACACTCCGTAATAAGCATGGTCGGCCACCGATACATTAGAATAATCTGGTTAACAAGATGTGCATATCACTCGGGAACACGTTGAACTTAGATAAAAGCGATAATTCCAAAAAAGTGATTTCTTTAGAACGTCAGATTACTGTACTTCTGCCATCGTGTCTGCAGCGAATACCGTGTTTCTTGTACGATATATGAAAAGTGTGACTGCGGCTTCATTGTTCCTGCTCGTGACGGCATCACTAAGATTATCCAATGTGAACCACAAGCTCAATGATATGCGTAACAAGCACGGCGGAAGCTCGAAGCCATCGGGTTCATAAATCCAACACAGTGAAATCTGACAGTCTGACAATACTCATTTCTGTCGATACGACCAAAGGACTCCGATCCTACTAAAACATTATAATGCCCATCTGGCTGATTGTGGTTGCCCTCGTCTAAAAAAAAACGTTCAGCCTTTCCACTCTCGTGAAGAAGAAAGACCAGCGGAGCTGTACTCGATACACTGTGTACTTCTTCTTCGTCGTCGTCTGTTTTTCGCGCTGTTTCCTACTATGAATTCCCACCAACGCGCCCAAGTATCCATTCTTCTATTTTAGCTGGAAAGGTTGCTGCCATCTACGAGCGACGGCGGAACCATACTGGTTGTGTGCTTGCTGCCATCGCTTAAAGATGGCGGTAGCTGTCCAGGCAAATTTGTGTCGACATACCGGACACGATCCTGGGGAACCTAGCCCTTAACAACTCTGCTGTAAAAATATTGCATGCTTCACCCCCGACCCGCAAAAGAATAGGGTTTTCCCTCCCAACCCCTTTGAAGAAAGTTTTGCAGATGGCCATTGGTGCAGAGAAGAACTACAGATACGAATTGGATGCAAATGCGCAAACTGTTATCTGTGCAGAGCTTTGACGATTGCTGGTTTCCTCCTTTCCACTCACCTCCTTTCCTGCATTTGCTCTGCTAAAGTGGAAAGAGTAGAGGGCATTGTGGAGCAGCTTATTCTGCTATTGCAGTGACCTTCCTTCAAACCACCTTTGTTTTTTGTTTTTTTTTCCTTTTTGTTTTTCTCACTTTTAGGTCTACAAGCCAACCAGGCTTCCCCCTTGCAGAGGAGGTTATATATATGACGGATTCATATTATAAAGTCCCGGACCTTTTCTACCAAAAGTGTGGTTTTCAGTTCATCAACAAAATCCAGCAGTTAATTTTTGACAAGCGTATATGAGACACATGGGTTTGGCAGAGTACTTCTATACAACCCATGCATCATATATGTATTTCGCCGCTGAGATATAAAAAAACAGTTTTCAAATCTATCTCGATATAAAAACACAGATACTACTCGAAAGTATCTCTCAGATATATTACTACTGCGATATATCTGTATTACAATACTGCACAGCCTTGATCTAAAGAAAGGGGAACTTGTCAAGACGCATCAAGGGGTGTCAAGGGGCGAGTCCAAAGAGTGTTTAAGGTCTTTCCATTGTTGCCGTTTCTTGCTTTCCATCTTTCAACCTAAAATTTCTTTATGCTATTGAAAGCACTACAACAATTTTTAAGTCGTTAAAGTTCCAGTAAATGCGAAGCCATTTTGCCCAACATTATGTAACATCACAGAGAAACTTGATTAGAAGGAAACAGGTATAAGTGAAGTGAAAAGATACAAAAACTAAACCAAGGAGACGCACCTACCTGAGCAACAGTCTCATAAGCCAAGTAATTGAAAACCTCAAGTACACTGCTGGTCGGCTTGATGTCCAAGTCTACGTCTTTCAGCAGCCAGTCTCGAAATCTTGCCGATTTCTGTTTTGCACCTTGAAATAAAACAAAACACATTGTTTAATTTTTAACACTTGTACTCCAGCATATCTTTAAGTGCAATGAAACTGCTTCATGAAATACAACATGCCAATCTAGATCAGTTACTAATTTTTTTTTTTTCACGTAACATATCTCTTATATATGCAGGTGATGGCCGCATAGTCAGTCTGCAAGCTTCTAATGACAAATTTAGTGTAATAAAGCTATACTTGAAACAAGGCTAGTTTGAGCAATGTTCACTGAAAATACCGTATTTGCACGAATATAACGCGAGTTTTTTTTCGAAATTACGTGCTCCAAAACGCACCTCGCGTTATATTCGGAATCGAGTTCTGCCACGAGGCGCGCGAGTCTGGAGAAAGCCAGAGGAGAAAGTCATCCCTCCGGCTCAATGCAAAAGATCCAATGGAAAAAGAAGTGGGGGTGTGGAGGGGCATTTTCTAGCCATGGGGCCACGTGAAGGGGCGAATAAAAAACATAAAAAAGCATTTTTATCGCTTTTGTGTTTTTACAACGCGCGCACGCCGCGCGCCGCACGCGCGCGCGCCATGCGGGAATGCGGGCACCGGCCAATTCGAGCCAAGCCAAGCCAAGACCACCGACCGCGTTTACGCAATCGTGCAACACAAGGCATTTGTTTACGAACAGGGATCAGAACAAGAAGTGTGATCGTGTATCGGGTTCAGCAGTCTTTTTTCTGCCAGCGCATTGTTTAGTTTCTGCTCCAGAGTGGTCTGGTGTTTGTGTGTTAGTGCTTCTGCTTCCGCGCCTTGTTTGGATTGTGGGCTGCCGAGGAGCACCCATGGAAGAAAAAAGAACTACCAGGCAAGCAGGCGCCGTGCTGCTGCACACCTGCGTAGTCGCCAAGTGGATTGTAAACGGAAGGACCTGAGCTGTGAGGATGAGTGCAGTCAAAACATAAACTGATATTTCTTCTATTTCCATTGACTTTTCACTTCTGCTATGCCCCCGAGTGCGAGAAATTGACGCGGCATCGGTTCGCGTTATAATAGCAATAATATTTTTTTTTCTTTTTGGGCGCATCAAAACCTGCCCTCGCGTTATATTCGTGGTCGCGTTATATTCGTGCAAATACGGTAAGTCATAGCAGTTTCTGAAAGAATGTGTTTCTGAATTTAAACATTATCCCTGCCTCCTCGTTCACTGGGCTCCTTTCATAAGTCTTGATGAGTAGCCTCCACAGCCTCTGTGGAAAAGCAGACACACAGGCTCTGTCCACATGCTCGGTCCATAAAAAAGGTTGACCTATTTTCGAGTATAAATAGGGTAATCTGTGGAAAGAAATTTGAATCATTTGTAGGACCACTATTACGGGACTAGGGTTAATGCTTATAGTATGTGGAAGTGGCCAGCTGAACAGAACAGAAACACTGTTCATTTAGCTGGTCACTTTCACAAGTTATGAACCAACTTGCTCAGCATTAGCCCGTAATAATGCCTTATGCCGGCGTCACTCTACCGAGATGTCAGTTTCATCTTTCAGCCATACATCTCAGACACTAATCAAATTTTTCTACCTGGCAAAAATTATCATTGTAGTTATTTTCCAGAACCATAGTGTCACAACAATAAATGCATTGGTTCAGTTTGGGCTAAGGTTCTGTGATTTTGGTTCTTGTTTTAGCTGAGCTCCAGGTCAATTTAAAATTGAACAGTCCTGTGCGAATCCACAGTACAGCCACAACAATAGCTACAATACCTTATCAGACCCTAATGTATCCCTAATGTAGAACTTTTGCTCAAGCTCGTGAGAACAAACTCTCTTGGCCTTCTTTTCACGAGCATGCACCTGATGACGATGGCGAGCTTCTTCCGCTTCTTCTGCCACAAATGGCACCTTATGTCAAGGAGTCCTCACCAATGTCCTCTCAAAAAGTTACAAACTCATTTATTTTATACACACTCTTTGAGGGACGCGGCATGAGACTCAGGGTGCGGGACATCATTGCAACTGCGTTGCTTAGTGAGCACTGTGCACAGGTGTCCTCAAAACATTAAATTATTAGGCGGCGTGTTGCAGCAGCGAGTGTAACTCCGTAGTAGTGCACCCATATTTTTTTTCAAGCCTTTCATGATATCGATGACAGCTGCTGTGCAATGCTGTACAATCCCCTACAATGCCCTACAATGGCCTCATTGCTTTACATCATTTCGAGGAGGTAAAAGAGTCCATGACAGCTATCGCTGTAAAAGTAAAGTATTGAAATGGTTACTTGCTCGCTCAAACGTGAATTGGGGCAAGCTGGTTTATAAAAAAAAAATTACCTGCTAGTAGTTCATTATAATTTTTGTTGGTTTTTGAATTGGCATGCATGCCTCATAAAAGATATATTAAAGAGGTAGTAGGCATCAGTTATCAGTTCCTGTTAATTGTAGCACATTATAATTCACCTAAAATACTCACAACCAGTTGGATCCTTTACTGACCAGTAATTTCATTCACGAAAAAACTGAGAGATAATATAGACAACAGAAATTTCAGTGGAAAAAGATGTGCAAAGTGATACACAGAAATAAAAACTTTTATGAAGCTATAAGCTTTAGCTTAGGCAACTCAGTGACTTGGCTTCATGACTGATTTGAGTCCATGATGTTTGCATAATAGGGCTGTATTATCCTTGTTGAAACTCCTAAATTTTTCTTTTTTTGTCCAATCTATTTAGAAATAAAAGAGCCATCCTGAAGCATATCTGAAGTTGCCCTTAGCTAATAAATTTCTGAAAGTATTGGAAAGCTGTTTCTGAACTAGGTTTGACTATGTGTTCTTTTTTATGTTACATTATTGCTGCCGTTGCAGTTCTACACATATGCACTACCGCTGAGTACTTCCAAAACTGCACAATCATTTTCTTCATATGACTTCTTGTTCAATAAATTGAGCCCTACTTCCATAATTTCCAAAAGAAGGTTAGTATTATTTAGTGTTGAGTGAATATTCAAATTTGCGAATAGGTGTTTTGAATAATATACTATTCGATATTCACTTCGAGATGAACTGCGATTTTCGTATTCTAAATGTTGATCACGGTGGGATAGCCCGATTGAGCGTACTTCTTACCCAGCACCAGTGCACTACGGAAAAGCAACATCCTCAAAGCTCGTCTCCATGGGTGTTACTTTTCCGCAGTGCACCGGTGCTTGGTAAGAAGCACGCTCGACGAGGCTAACCCATCACAATCGTCACATTAAGTGGTACAAACATTGCAATCGCGTGCTCACGAGGAAGGCACAATTTCAATGCGGTATGGTGTATGTGTGTGCCTGGTGTATTTAAGAAGAAACAGAAACTTTGTGAATGTTGATATCTACACTACAATAAAATTTTCAAAATTAAACTGCAGCTATTATGTAAGAGTACATTTAGGCAAAGATGTTCTGACAACCTGCATTCATCAATCATGATTGTCTTTTTTTTTTCCTTTTTTTTTTAATTCTAGATTTAATAAAAAATATTTCCATATAGCAACAAGATTTATAAATCTCCTCGATCAGTATAGCTGGGCGTGTCTAAAAGTTTAATTTTATGTCAAATGCCTCAGTTACTTGCTATCCCAATGTAGTTCTTGGACTTTGAGGCTACACAGTCTATAAATGTAATTAGATTAAAATTAACTTTGCTTAGAAATGGACAAGTGGGAGCCCTAGGGAACAACCCTCGCGAGTTTACCTGGGCTTTCATTTACATCAGGCCTACTGCACTAGCAAAATGCTTGAAAAAACTATTTGATTCGAAAGTATCTGACCAACATCACTATTCACTTCGGATTCACTCCAAACAAAAATATCCAGTATTTGCACATGACTAGTATTATTTATAAATATAAAAGAAGTGAGGCCATGTTGTTGTAATTACCACAGTATACTAAGGCTGATTCACACGCTCACATCTGGTTGCAGACGAGTGTGCCTCAACCGGTTTCTAAATTTCCCATCACTGCTTAAGATCCACTGCGCAATGGATTGTAAGCAGACACGGGAGGCTTAAAATCGGCTGTTTAAGCCTCTCCCGCCATAAACAGTCGCAAATATGTGAGCTGCAGCCTTTGTAATGTAATGCCAAAAACACCGCACTTACAAAAAGACGACCTCCTGGCATTGCTGTACTCAAAATATTGTGCCTGGTCCATGCACCGGGTCTGTGCTTCTGCCCTCTGCAAAGAGAACAAAGAGTAGAGAAGATAGCAAAATGAATCATATTACAACTTCTACCTCCAATGCAAGTGTTTAAAAAAAAAAAAAAAAAAAAGCTTTATTTATTTGGATGATAAATCTGGCATAAGAAAAAAGTGCTCTTTTTTTTTTGTTTGGCCTTACATTTTTCTTTTTCCTTTTAAAAGGAATCTGAGAATGGGGGATTGCAAAGATTCTGCGTGCATTTGTTCCCCTCTTTGTGTCTCTCAAACTAAAATTTTCCAATGCAAAATGGTTTACTTTGGCTTACTTTGTTTTCAAGCACTTTACATGATCCCTCACATGCATGTTTATTCTGAGAAGCCTCAACTTCATAAATGATTTCTAGTATCTTCCACCCGTGCTAATGCTCAAGCCCTTACCCACGTGTAGACAATGAGGGTCAGGTGATGGAAAGAGAGGTGGTTGATTGGTACGGCAAGTGTGCATATCTTCTACCCTAAAGTCAGCTTAGGGGTGAACGGAACATAATGGCAGTGTTCATATTAATTAATAAATAAACATGGTCGCTCTGTACAAAAATAAAATAATTGGTAGACATGGGCAGTTGTAGACAAGGCAAATGAAATCGCAGGAGGGTGCCACTTCATGCTTGCATGATGTCGATGGCGAGGGGAATTACTGCCGGCCGGATGCGAGATTAGGGCTATCAACATCCAGCTATTCTCGACAGTGCTGTGATCAGCTGTGCCACTAGTTAACAGCTAGATGCTGACAGTAACCTATCTCTCAACCAAGTAATGCTTGGAGGGAATCGTGCCGCTGGCATGACACTTCTGTCACTTCATCAGTTTTGTTCATGAATGTGTAGCAGTTCTAATCACCTACATTTTATAAAACATTTAACACAAAATTTAATATAAGATTGAATAAAAGTTTGTTTCATGGGTGGTCAAGCAACATTGCTGACAAGTGGACTACCAGAATTCCAGCAACAAAAAAAAGAGCTACCTAATTCAATTGGCCACCTGACATGACTGCAATGCCCTTTCTATTTTATCACAGAGTGGTGGGTAGCAAAACGTAAATGATCTATGCTGTGAAAGACCTATGAAAGACAATGCTCCAGATCTCGTGAACAGCATATGTGAAGAGTACTTGAGAATTAGCGGTCTGGAACATTATGAGTGCTGTGGGGCCGGGAGCATGCCCAGCATAATCACAGAGGCTGTGGAAATGGAAGAAATGCCAATGCAGTGGTTCTTAAAGCTCTCGAAAACTCACAGACAATTTGTAAGAATCAAAGAATGTGGTGCCATTTTCAAGGAAACCTTGTAAGGTTTTAGAGAGGCATAAAAATATGAGACAAACATAGTTTCACCACTTTTGTTTGAAGACAATCTGAGTTTCGTCTTAGTTTCAATCAGGTGGCAGGATTGTTTCGGCGCTATTTATAACACTTAAAATTATGATCCCACACCTCTACTTTTCTCAGTTAAAATTAGCATTTTTGACTAGTCCCTTTTCTTCCATCTTACCAATCCTGTTTGGTAGACTAAACTTATACACAACTGCAAGCATGGCATTCTGGACGGTGCCTCTTGTGTGTAAGCATGTGCAAAATGCATGTGAAGGTAACTTTGGTAGGCTTGTAATTAGCTATGTTTTCTATGCCATGACTAGAGAATGGTGGCAGTCAGATAACCTGCTTGCAATTGTGTACAAAGCCACACTTTTGAAGAACCAGGTTTGAAACTATGTATCGAAACTGACTTACAAGCTTCAGGTTTTGGCAAACTAAACTATGCACAGGTTATGATGAAATGCAATTAATGCAAAGGTGCAAGCGAGCTGGAAAAGAGTGACGATAATAATCCCTGGAGAAGGGGAACAAGGGGGACATAGGACAAACACAAATCTCTAAACACAACTAGGTGACTGGTGTGCAATCGAAAAAATCCGCCCTGGAAATGGAGAGGTGCCTGGTTCAATGCCAGGACCAGGCGGATTTTTTCTGTCACGCACCAGTTATTTAGCTGTGTTTAGAGATTTGAGTTTGACCTTTGTCCCCCTTCTTCCCCTTCTCCAGGGATTATTATCATAAGCCACAAAAAAAAAAGTTACTGTGTCTAAGATATTATTAAAAAAAGTGGCAGCCACAAGTTCTCAGCATGTTTTTTTTCATAAAGATATTGTTGAAGAAAGCCAAATATAGTAGCAGTTGCATTGCAAAACACATTAAACATATCCTTTCTCAAAGACAGTGATATTCTTCTAGAAAAGCATCTTTTTGATGATATATATATATATAAGCTGAGCAGCGCCCATACAAATGAAGGAAAGCGTTTGACAGAAAACAGGAAAGCCACACATATGGACAAGTGCTACAGATGAGTCTCAATTTACATGACTGTGAACGACTTATTTTTCGCGGGTTCAATATTTCGAGATTTAAGTCAAAGCTGAAGTTTTGGAATAATTTGCAAGTTCTAATTTTCGTGATGCGGTGGGATCTCAATATAAATTACAATGTTTTTACATTTTACCGTAATTGTTTGCGGGCCCTATTTTTCGCGAATTTGAGGCGATTCGCGAAATTCGTGAAAATTCAGTCCTCGCGAAAATTAAGTCGTTTACAGTATAGAATTTTACGTTCTCTATGTTATCTCCCATAGCAGACAGAGGTAGAGTATATGCAACCATGACAAGTTCACCAATTATGAAGTAATGTAACAACCCTTAGGAAGTAATTTAGCGCGGCTCCACAAACTTATGATCCACCATACGCAAGTCTTGTAGTACTATATGTGACTACTCACAAGGTATCTTTCGTGTTTCACTTCATCAAAGATGGAGTCTTGAAGGGCAGCAGCCAGCTCTCCCGTCTGGTCGATGGATGTGACAAAGTCGCGGCACAGCTTGGTCCGCTTTGGTCGCGGGGTACCACATGGCTTGGTATCTTCAGGTCCTGCAACCATTAGGAACAAAGACCAACTAATGAGCCATAACCTATATGGATGGAAACAGAGAGAGAGGAGGGGGTGAGAGCCTGCGGGAACGTCAGAATGCCGAGCTCTAGTTCGAATGATTAGTGGGCAGACGCAGAGGCCAGCTGCCTTTGTCTCTACTCGCCGAGTGCCTGAGTGTGCGACATTCACATGCTATGGCACTCGGTAGACATTGCATTTACCGGTACGTCTCCTTTCATAAACTACAATGAACAGTTCTCTGCACGCTTTCTGCAGACACACATGTGCAAACTTCGACCATAAGGCAGTCAACCAATTTCCTACGGCGAGTCGAACAAATCAAATCTCATTGTGTGGCTCACTAAAAGCTCTTTTGAGTTTCCTTTAAGTGGAGCAAAGCACGAAAGTGTGAACACATGACTCTCAAAGGTGTCTATAAAAGGACACTGAAACCCCCCAAAAAAAATTTTTATTTTTTGCCAGGTGATCTAATATGGTGTCAGAAAAGAGTACCCAATCAATATTTTGCTATAGGATCAAATATATTTTTAATGAAGTAAAAAAATGCAACTGCTCGAAACCAAGACTGGACTGGGGAGAAAGAAATGTAGAGGAGGAGAGAGCTGCCGGAAGTAGGGTGACCACCCGTTTCGCGACTCGCAGGACTGTCCCGCATTAAGGGCTCTTATCCCGCGTCCCGCAAGAAATTTCAAAATCTTCAAAATGTCCCGCATTTGTCACTGCCGTAAAATTCACTACACAACTCATGGCACTGACGAACAACGGGGCACGGGGAAGCGCAGAGGTCCCTAGTGAACGAGATGTGAATCGCGATGGTACAACATTTTTTACCGATGCATAAAGGCAAGCGACCGTCGTTCTTCCAGGAGAACTGACGCGCATGCGCCAATGTGCCTCCCATCCCTTGGAGGCAAAATATTGCAAAAAAACATTGCTCACCAAAAGTTCAAAATAAATTATTTTAATTATTTTCAAATCGTGCTGTGTCAATGCAAAAAGATTGCTGTAAAAAACTTTTTTTTTTATTGAAAACGACTAAACAAGGCAAGAAAACTGCACCTCAAAACGGTCACAAATAATAACATAAGGTTCGAAATTTGCGCAGGAAAATGTTGGAAAAAATAAGAATCTCTTCTTCTATCTTTTTGACGCATTGAGTTCTGCTGCTGTCGATTTTATGTTTTCAGCTTAGGTCCCTTTGGTTAGCAGATGTGGCATGAAAACTTAAAATATATCACAGAGAGTGGAAATTATTAGCTTAATTGCCGCAATACAATTTTCAGCTGTATAATATGTTTTCAGTCAAGGCAGGATATTAAATGCGTTAAGAGAGACACATTTTGTGGCGTGTGTTGATACATTTCCTCGAATTGTTACTTTTTTCCGTGATGTTTTTTTTTTCTTTTTTTAAACTGAGACTGGGGCAGAAGGCAGAAACAAATGTTTCCTCCTCCTGCTTCAGTCTCGGGTTGAAAGGCAACATGGTAAATTTCCCCCAGTCCGACTGCACACTAAGTGCTTTTTTGCAGTTGCCACAGTCGAAATATAATACTGTTCTTCTCTTACCCCCCCCCCCCCCCCCGGTCGTCAGCGCGTCCCGCATTTCGCTAGCGGAAAGGTGGTCACACTAGCCGGAAGTCACATAAGTACACCCGACCGTGCTTCTCTGGAAGCAAGCATTTCTTTGGAATCACCCAGTGTGTGTCCCAGAAGACACCTGCAGTGTTGGTATCCCCGCAATGTCCAGCACTTGAGCCCTATGAATTGTTGACCGGCGCTAACTGTATTGACACTACACCTCTTGAATTGACGAATTCTTTTCTCGACACCAGCCCAGCATTAAGAAGATCATCCAAGAGTCAGGAGGCCACCATTGCACTTTAAGCCAAAGCAATCCAGGGGTAAAGGTATGCTATGGATTGCAATGCTCGCCACTGCAAGCATAAACAAGAGACTATTATGTGCTGGCTTGCACCAATTCTTTCTGAGGCTGGGCCACCAGCAAGACACCACTTTGAGTCTAGTTTCCATTATTCATGATGTTTGGAAGAGATATCACAAATTTTTCTGAGAGTGCCAGCAAGCAATAATTGGCCACACTGCCTCTTACCTGTGTCCGGTGAAATGAAGGCAGTTGCCGTAGCAATGTCTTCTTCCCCGGAAACATTGGTCGCCAAAGTGCCCTGAAAGGACTTCACCTCCATGTAGTTGATCAGGCGGTGCAGCTTGGCCTGTTGAAGGAACAATAAAAATGGAGTTTATTTTTTAAGATGTCAAAGTAAGAAGCTGGAAGGGTAACTCCTTCCAGGGACCAGGGGTGCAAACAAACTTCAGCCTTTTGTAGCAGGTCTGTGAGCAGCAAAGATGCCCCTTTGGAGCAGTTTTGAAGTAGCTCATGAGAAGTCAGTTTTGTATCGATATAAGGAAATCTTGGAGCTGGTCACCCAGGTCAAACTTGGGGCTATAAGTGCAGGTGTACTTTTCTAAATACAAGAATCGCACAATGAAAAGTATCTCCATGTGATGTTCCAGAACCATTTCCAAACATACCCTTTCCTTAAATAAAATGCAGCCCAAAGCATCAAAAGCAAATAGCATAATTGCAATTTATCTGAATGGCAGCCATTGAGGACTGTCCTGGTCGCGGGTTAATTGGTTCCTCTTATGGACTTCTGATAGAAGACATAGCCAACAAAAGAAGCACAACTTGAGCCTCATGAGAACAAAACATTGTGCCTATTTGACAGCCCAGATCACAAGTTCCATAAGTCTGCTGAAAACAAAACCATTTCAAGATACAAAAGTATGGTATGAAATGAAGCCCGATACTTACCGACTATACAGTTTTTATTATTAGGCAATACAAATGTTCCAAGTCCCTGTTTAGAAATCATAAATGTATTCAATACTCAAGTTAACAGAGCGCAAATCTACTCTATCTGATAAAAGTACAAATTCAAAATGTTAAAAACTTCATGATATCATGCCTGCTCATACATATGTGCTTAAGCCCTTATTAGAACAAGCATGACTTGAATATAAAAAAAAAAATCGTTTAGGGGTTTCATAAAAAAGTAAAAAGAATGAAAACCTACCAAGACCATAAAAAGGAAGTTTTTCCTCACAAGTCAATTGCTTGGATGTGTTGTAGTACGACAGTTTAGTTTGTGTCGCTCAGCAGGACATATCCACTGTTTTCCTTGTCCTTCTGCTGGCTTGCTGTTTGTGTGCCAGCAAGTTTATTCGCATCATACGTCATTCACAAGAAAGTTTAAAGATGAAACAACCAATTATCGCTTTAAATGTTACAATTACAGCACGAATGAGTAGCTATAGGTGAAGGCATGCCAGCAAGCTCTTAGGTATACAGTCAAACCTCGATTTAACAAACTTCTATGTAATGAAACCTTCAATGTAACGAAGTACATAACTTTTTCTAACCGCAAGTGTTTACACGCCATGTATTTTTTACCTCTATGTAACGAAGTCCCATTTGGCGAAATTTCGATGTAACGAAATTTCGTGGACAATACGGCACAAACTTTGGGTCCGAAAAGAGATTTCGGGAAGCATACGCGCTGAAACGGGCCCCCGATAAAGCGCACAGGGTGAAATGGGCCGCCCAACTGGCCCGTCTGGCCCAATGCACCCAATGCTCTGGGGAGAGGGTGTCTAATCTGGTGAGTGTGGTGTACAGAACGGCCACTAGAGGATACTAGAGCCGCTGGCATTTCGTCCATCCGCTTCGTTCCAAAGAGTAGTTACGGTAGTTCGTTTCGAGGCATAACTAAAAACGTGCGTTTCTCGTTGTGCTGGGCCACGGAGCCTTCAAGGCGACGGAGCCGTCCCTGACAACGTCGACCTCGACGACTTTCTATATGCCTACTCTGCTGTCATTGCGAAGGAGCAGGTGACCAGCAAGACGATAGCTAGCGATGTTCATGGGAACTCGCAAGATGAGGACGACAGCGAGCCTGATGAGCAAGACACCTGGCGATGTGCCCAGTAACCGTGAAGTGTTGGACGCGATAAATGTCTTGAGGCGGTTCGCAAGCACCCAGCAAGGCGAAGACGTGATGCGAACCGTCTGGCTATGCGAACGTCAAGTGATGCCAATAATAATGCCAAGAGCGGTCCAGAAAAAGGTAACGGACTACTTTCAACCAAAATAAAGGCGTCCTCGGTGAGTTTTGTGCACCCGGGAAACATTTGTGGAAACTCTTCAACGTTAGCCCCAAATTTCTATGTAGCAAAATCAGATCAGATCAGATTCATTTTCCTCAAAGGTATCCTTTGGGATACATTACATGAGGGGGGCAATAAATACAACATTCAATGAACAATAATAAAAGGTAAACAGCAAAACTGTAATGTATCCCGGGCGGAGCTCAAGCCACGACACCGAGGAGCGTCCAGATGTGCTTTTAATGGCGCCTGGAATTGCAATGCCCGAGCACCCGTCCCGTGCCCCAGGTTCGTGCTCTTGAAAAGCGCGGGATAAGCGCGTGTGCCCGGTGACGCCATCTCTTGGCCACCAGCTGATACATGACACTTCCCCCTCACTTGGCTGAGAAACCGAATCTTTCTGGCGGCCGTCGCACGCGAGTGCTGGTACATATGATCGGCTGGGTGGAACATGAAGGTCCTGTAGGTTGTGTAGGAGCAGTAGCCGGCCCTTGAGGGGTGATTGACACCTCGCAAGGCTCCAAGGCCAAGTCCCACACAGGTGAAGGTGTAGTAGTCGTTCTGCGCGGTGGCATGGAACTTCTAGGTCGTATATGTTCCATATGTCGCCGTGTCTGCCCCTGATCGGTGTCGATCATCCACGACCGAGGGCCCAGGAGTCTAGTGATGGTACCCGCCATCCATGTGCGTCTACTTGGAAACTTGCGAATCCACACTGCTTGTCCCACCAAAAATGCTTCCGGGACTGTCGAACTCGTGGGTTCATAGTTGGCCGGGTCCGTGGAGGAGTCTCTCGAGCGGAGACGGCAACTCTCGGCCAAGTAGAATCCACGCGGGAGTTTTTTCCGTCGCTGTGTGTACGGTAGTGTGCTGCTTGTATAAAAAGCGTGCCAACGTACAGTCCAAAGTGCCTTTTCCGCCCTTCGCCAACACCTTCTTTAACTGCTGGACCATTCGTTCAGCTTGGCCGTTAGTTGCAGGGTGATAAAGGGCGCTGGTGACCGCTGCGATGCCGTTGGAGGAGTAAAAGCTCTTAATTTCTTCCGATACAAAGGCGGTCCTGTTGTCGGACATTACTTTCCGTGGTATGCCAAGGTTGCAAACACTCTGCGCAGTTCTGAAATAACCGTAGATGACAACATATTCCGAACTGCGCAAACTTCTAGCCATTTGGAATACGCGTCAACAATTATAAGGTAGACTTGCCCCTCGATCGGCCCGGCAAAATCTAGATGGATGGTGTCCCATGGTGCCGTAGGTCTTTCCCAGGTTAGGTTTTCGGCCTTTGGTACTGCTCTCTGGTTCACTTGGCACGTGTCACATTGAGCTACACAGAGTTCAATCTCTTTGTCGATCCCAGGCCACCACAAGTAGCTTCGAGCGTATGCTTTCATGGCAACGATGCCCCGGTGCCCCGCATGTAGAAGTGCTATGGCCTCAGATCTCATTGACGCGGGAATTACCACGCGCGATCCGCAGATGATACAACCATGATGAATTGACAATTCTGCTGCCTTGAGCTTGTATGCGATGAAGCGATCACCGTCCAGCTTTCTCACTTCGCCACGTTTGACCGCTTGGAACACCTTAGCAAGTATGGAATCCTTTGCTGTGTTGTCCGCCAGTTCTGTTGCAGTCATGGGAGGTTTTGTGAGCGCTTCCAACATCAAGACATCGCCTGGAGGATGTTGCTCGTCGTCAGTTTCCGGCAATGGCAGTCTGCTTAAGGCATCGGCGTTTTGATTCTGTTTTCCTAACCTGTAGATCATATTATAATCGTAAGCTGTCAGCTTAACACACCAGCGTGTCATCCATGGCGAAAGTACAGTTGGTACTGGGGACTTTTGGCCCATGATCCCCAACAGCGGCTGATGGTCTGTTGTAATTGTCACGTGACGTCCCGCGACGTAGCGATGAAAACGGTCCATGGCGGAAACAATTGCCAGCCCCTTACGATCCAACTGTGAGTAATTTTTTTCGGCTTTGCCGAGCGTTCTCGAGGTGAAAACGATTGGAGCTTCGTTGCCATCGGCATCGAGCTGAGCTAATACCGCTCCCACGCCGTAGGGTGATGCGTCACATGACACAATCAGGCTTTTGTTCTCGTCGTAATGCACGAGAACAGTTCGCTGTGCGATGGCATGCTTTAACTGTCGAAAGGCTTGCTGATGCTTTTCTTGCCATGTCCAAGGGACGTCCTTCTCCAGCAGTGCATAGAGGTCCTTTGCAATTGTTGCCCGGTTTGCCAAAAACCGGTCGTAAAAGGCTAAAAGTCCCAGAAACAATTGTAGCGTTGTTCGGCATGTTGGCTCAGGCATTTCCTTGATGGCTTTCAGTTTTTAATCTGTCGGGTGTATTCCAGCAGCATCAATGGTGTGGCCGAGGTATTCTACTCGTTTAACTGCAAAACGACACTTACATCTCTTGAGTCGAAGTCCAGCCTGAGCGAGTCGCGTCAGTACTGTGTCCAGTTGAGTCAGGTGTTCGGCTGCGGTCGCACCGCTGATGATCACGCCATCGAGGTATACCCCGATCCCCGGAATTGCAGCAAGTACTGTTTCCATGAATCGCTGGAAAATCGCTGGTGCTGCGGCGATCCCAAACGGCATCCTCTTGACTCTGTATACGCTCCGTGCGGGAACTATACGGGGCGCTTTGAAAAACGCGCGTAGCGCCGCCAGCGGAGGAGCTGGCGTTCGACAGTGAGGCGCGTTCAGCGGCCGGCGGCGCCTTTTCGCATGCGAAGCTGTGGCGGCGGAAGCGCACACGGATGAAACTTTTGCTTTTTGAGCCGATACGTTGAGGGTGACGTTGCACGAGTGCTGGGGCAGACCTAAGAAGGGCATCTAGCTGTTCTCCACTTCTTATATATGGAGTTTGAGTTGTTATTAGGGGTGGTTTCTCTAGTTGCGGCCGAAAAAGGGGTTGGAGCAATTTTACGAAAAGCAAGACGGCCGCCACAATAATTGCTCTGAGTGGGAAATTTGTTTCGCTCGTCGCTGTAAATGGAACTGCTGAAACGATGATATTTGGAGGCGAGTGAGAT